AATTTTGCTTTAAACTTTTATATAAATATAATTTACTTTTTTATCTACTTTTTCAAATTTTTGTTCAAATATATTTTTGTAGAAATTTAAAAATTGGTGTTTTAAGGTTTTTTTTAACAACTTTTGAGTAATTTTTTCCTTATTTCCCTCAAGAATGGGTAATTCTATGTTTACCTCTTTCAAAATATTTTTAACATATGTAAACCAGGTATAGCAGCCTGAATCATCCAAACTCTTAGAAAGTAAAAAGGATTCATATAATAATGGATTAATTTCAGAATTTAGTAATCTTGTTAGGTAAAGTATACTCTGAGTTTTTATATACATCTCTTGTGGGTATCTCCCTAGCTCTATTCTCACGGCTATGTTTGATGAAGATTTTCTTGTTCCGATAATATATTTACAGAAAGAGAAATGTAATTTTTCTAAACAGGGTTTATCAGTAAAATTAAGGAGGTCTATATTTGTTTTGGAGATTTTTGCACGTTTTTCTGCTCTAAATTTTGAAACATATGTATCCATATAAGTAATTTCTGAATTGTAAGTGGCTATTTTTTTTATCTATAGAATAAAAAAGACTGCAAACTACTTTAACTGGCAGATTATTTAAAGAACTAGTATAAGTTTTAATGGCAAACATCACTTTCTTTGCTTTCTTTACGAGTTATTTAGAGCTATGCAATAAGTTTCAATTTGTTTTTACAAGAATTCCAAGAAATGAATATTCAGAGACATTTGTCAAGTTTTCATTTTTATAATTTGCAAAAGATGGTTCCACTTTTTTATTATATTGCTGCAGAAACATTGTTTTAGTTTTATTAATATTTAAAGTCAATTGCCACTTTTCACAATATTTTTCTAAGTTGTTCAGACTATTTTGTAGGCCTTCTTTAATTTCAGATAATATTAAAAGGTCATCAGCAAATTGTAAAGATCCTACTTTTTCTACTTTAGTATCAATCAGTTTCAATGGACAGCTTTTTTCATTTGAAAACTCTGCATCTAAATTATTTATAAATAAATTAAATAAAGTAGGACTCAATGAATCCCCTTGCTTAACCCCTTGTGAGACCTCTAAATATGCTGAATGCCACTCTTGGTGCTTAAAAGCAGGTTTTGTTTCCTCATACTGTCCTTTCATAATATTAATTTTTTTTTCCTGCTCCTGCGTTATACAGTTTATAAAGTAAGGCTTTTCTCCAGACAGAATCAAATGCCTTTTTAAATCTACAAAGCAAGCATATATTTGTTTTTATTTTTGTGTAAGTATTTGTTTATTAAAGACTTAAGAACAAATATACTATCAGATGTTCTATGATTTTTCCTAAAGCCAAATTGAGTATTACTGATAGTATTTTCCATCAGTTTAATCAATCTTTCATGTAATACAGCAATAAACAACTTTGGTAAGCAACCTGTCAGGGATATTCTCCTGTAATTATTAGGATCACTTTTTTCTCCTGATTTATGCAATAAAATTAAAATATGAGTATTTCCATATTGATGAGTAAATACCTGTATTCAAAATTAGGTTAAACAGTTTAACAATGCTTTTGATAGATACGTTTTACTTAATTTTATTATTTCATTAATAATGGTATCAGGCCCAGGAGATTTTTCTTTTTTAAGCTTACTAATAACGTGTTTTATTTCAGAGTATTTGTTTCTCTATTGTATGTAATGTTTTTTTCAATATTAACAAGTTGTTTTTCTATTTCCTCTCTCCATTTCATATTTACAAATGTGGGTTTTCCTTGGTCCTGAATATGCTTCCTAATTATTTCTTTGTCTTTTAAAATTTCAGGTAATTCATTACCAACATTATTTTTATTTTTCAATCCTTTTTAAGTATTTCCCAATAATCTTTAGGTTTCTTATTAAAACTATCTGTCAACGAATTAAATATCTTCTCTCTGTATTGTGCTTTTAAAAATTTCACCATTTTTTAATAACTTTTTAACATTTCAAAATAAGTTTAAGTTGATTATTTGGACATTTTTAAGTTTATTTCCAACCAAGTTTATTTCTTTTTTTTTTGTCTCATAGACACAATTGTCTGACCATACCTGTCTATATTTTTTCTCTTTCTTTTAAATCTTTTTGATATTTTACAAGTTATCTCAGAGATACTTTCAAAAATATTAGTTAACTTTTCAGTTGCACCATCAACCCCCTTCTGATTTTCCTCATACTCATTTAATTCAAAATTTATTATATCATTTTTATATGCTCCGACGTAGAGCTTTAAGTAGCAATTTTTGTGAGTTTTCAGTCCATCTATATCTTTTCAAATCTTTCAATTTTTTTCTATGTGACTTTTAAGGTCAAAAATTTGTTTTATATTACCATTTAAAGTTAACTGAATATGTACATGATCTGACAAGTAAGTAAAATCATCAGTTTTAAAGTATTTCACTGAGGACAGGAGACTTTTGCTTATTAATGCATAATCTACAGCACTGTATCCATTCATTGAAATATAAGTATAGTAGCCTAGGCTGTCCCCTATTTATCTTCCCTTTAATATGTGTAACCTTGAGGCAATAAACAATTCTAATAAGGATTTACCTTGAACATTTGCAACATTATCTTGATTGTTTCTAGCAATTTCAATGTCCACTTCATAATAATCTGGTATTAGATTTTCAGCATCAAATTTATTTATTTGAAAAGAATCTCCTGTAATAAAATCAGGACACTTTCAAGTCCTTGCATTCATGTTCCCCATTAAAAGTATTTTTCCTTGTCTTGCAAAAGTACTGATATCATTTTCTAATAAGTTATATTCATTTTCAAAATAGTTTGAATTTATAGGGGGAATGTATATTGCACATAGATATAAATCTTCCTTGAAACCAAAGAACTCCTTTTCAAGTTTTAGCCATAGTGTATTTTGTGATTTTGTATCATTTATAGTGGTTATACCCTTTGCTATTTATTTTTTGTAATAAACAATAATTCCTCCACTATGTCGTCGTTCATTTTTTTTCTTTTTGCATATTTTTGATCAATATTTTATAATATTTACACTCCCCTTTCCAGGTTTCAGGTAATATATCTTTGAATTTTATCTATAAATAATTCATCTTGGATTTTGTCCCCAAGGCCACGCACATTCCAAGCAGAAATAGTTAAATAATGTTTATTTTCATGTGTTCCCATGGTATAACACAATGTTGACTGCTGTACCCCTATTTTTGACATTTTTACCTATTATGTCTGTTTGTATTGTTCACACATTGTTGTCAATATAATGGAATTTTATGCAACCGTCATACAGGTGAGAGGTTTAGCTAGCTTTAAAACCAGGTTTAATCCACCATTTTCTACATAAGGAAATGCCTGTACCAAATCAGGAATATGACAGTTGTTTTCCATTCGTTTGATGTGTTTGAGCTTTTGATTTTGCGAATTGTTTAGGGACTTTCTGTTTTGAATTTTCCTTGGAGTTCGGTATTTTTGTTGTTTTACTTTTCGCAAAGACCTACAGAAACTAAGCTTATGACATTTAATTAACTGTTCTAAAGGTATGACTGATGCCTAAGCAACTATTTGAAAAATATTCTTTCCAAAAATCAAAACCAAAGCTAATCTAAATACTACATTCTAAAATACACTTGAAGTGTAGAAAAACTCATTTTTACACTTCGTACATTCAAGTCTGCATTGTAAAATTGTACCTAATAACTGAGAAACATATTTATATATTTAAATGCTGACAAGGAGTGATATTTAAATATTTTTGTTCAGAAACTAATATTCAGCATGGTTAATCAATTATGTCAACTACTTGTTACACATCAAATGAAAATGACAGTTTCTAAACATTATCCCGTATCAACATAATGTAATGCTTATTTTCATACATTGTAGCAAGGTTGTCGATTTAACAATTAACCTAAATCTACATATATAATCATAGAGAACTAGATCGACTTACAAAACATTTCTTTTGTAACTGTTAGAAGGTTTTGACATGAATAAGTTTATTGAATTTTTTTTCAACTATACGAGAATTTGATTTTAATTTTTGCTTTAGATGAAATCTCCTTAAAGGATAAACAGTCTTTTCTAATGGCAGACTCTTTAATATCTACACATCTACGTGTCACAGTTCTGTAAAAATGTTAACATTCACACATTTTGCTCATTTGCCTTTGAAGTTATTGCAGAATGTTTTTTTTACAATTTATTTAAAAGATGAGTATTCATGTATTGATATAAGTAGTATCAGAAGTTCATTACTTATAGTGGACTTCTGTAAATATTGGTATCTGAGGATAGATTGTATTTCACAAAATGTGAGAAAATTAAGTACTTAGGGAATGACCATTTAACTTCAAGGGGGGGGGTTATGGTTTTTTCCTAAAGAAATATTCTGATCCCCAATTTGATGAAAAAAAATATTGTGGTCAAGCAGATGACAAAAAAAAAATTCTGAATCCGGATTTTCCCCAAAAAACCATAAACAACCCCCCCCCCCCCTTAAAGTTAAATGGTTGCTCCCTTACTTTTAAATAAATTGAGATGTGGAGTATATCATCACTATATATCTATGAGACCGTCTCGGATGACGAAAGTACAGTCTTCAACAATATACAGGTGTCTATACAATATGTCAAGCTATTAATCATTATTAAAGTATTTGTCAGCACTTACTATTTATAAGAGTGCCAATAAAGGCAACAGTAGTATACACAAAGGGTCACAAACCAAAACCGAGGGAAACACAGCCAATATGTCTTCTTATAATTGAAAATCATGTCTAGTAAAATTGTCCTATAAGCTAAGATGGATTGTATTACATAAGATGTTAGCAAAATTGGTCCAGTGGATTCAGAAGGGAAGATTTTTTTTTAAGTTGTTTACCCCATCAACCAACGCCAAGTGATAGCAATAGCTCACATGGCTAGTAAGGTCAGGTGAGCTTAAAATAAAAAGTAAGCAGTAACCATTATCAATATTTTGGCAGGTTTTGACTGATTGGAAATAAAACAAAATTAAATTGTAAACTGAAAATTTACTGGAAAATTAAAGTCTCATTTGTTGTTACACCAGCAACAATATTCTATGATGATAAAACTGATTCACAAGAAATGGTTCCTCAAACTGCTTGGTCAAGGGGAACATAAATCTTTGAAACAAAACAGAATGAGTGAAAGGACCAAAGGACAAGGCTAACACTTATTGTTCCCATATCCTTCAGTGGAGAAATAAACAATAACTGCATATTTTAAATGACATTTTGAAGACATTTTGCCAAGTGATAAAATTCCTTTCTTTTTGTCTGACCTGAATGGTAACATAAAATAAATGGTTGTTGATAATGTTACTTTGCATTTTCAGAATTATACAAAAAACATCTAATTTTTACTTTTTTTTTAAAGTTTTTTATTCAGACTGTCAATTATAATTATTAATCATTTGTTTAAACAAGCACACTGGATATCTGTTTGCAACTGCTGAGCACTTAGTGTAATTAAAGTCTGTCCAAATCACACCACGTGTTCATCATATCACACCTAAAACTAATTCCTGTTCTGCCTTTTTTTCTGCCTGCAATAAAAAGTAAAAATGTTTAAAAACTGACCAGATATGTTAATTACATACTGCAGTCTTAATACCAATAAAGAATATGTGTCTTTTTTTAATTCTATGTTTTTATTGGCTAATATATATCATGTGATTGTTTCTTAATTACATATTTAATGTAAACATGTAATAATTTTGATAACATGTGGCAAAATTGATGGCAGACTAAACAGCAGACGGATAATAAAAAATATGTAAAATGAAAAACCATCAAACCCCTATATTCATGAAAGGAATGTTAAATATTTATTGATGGTTTTTTGTATACAACTCAAAAAAATAATCAAAAAATATCAGCAGTAAAAGGTCAAAAGTTGCACAGAAATGTAACATGTTAATTGCTACTTTCATGTCATTAACCACTGATTTAAAAAAATTGATTTTTGACATTATCAAAGTGCTTGTGATCACTGAAGGGTAAAAATTCCATTTGTTTTGCAGTGGGAACTAAAAATGCATTGCATTAATATAAGCATTGGAAGGTTCAACTACAATTATGGACAAAGGTAGATAACTCCAATTCTAAACATTACTTTAACAATGACAACATTGATATTTTAGAACACATACTAGATTCAAACACCATGCACAATTTTTGATATTTTCTTGACAAGTATGTTTTTACACTTACAAAAAATATTTTGTAACTTGAATTTCTGAGTATATATTTCGTCGATAAATTACTTAAAATGTTCATGGATAAGAGGTATAGAATTTTGTGCTGAATGCACTGTAATTTTTTCATCTCAATAGTAGTTATAAAGTTTGGAAAATTATTAGCTATCAAGCCAGCCCATAAAGATTTGATTGCATGAATGCAATATTAAACCCAATAAACTGTTATCACAGAGATATGTCTCACTTTTTTGTAATTTTGATTATGCAAATGTTGAAATTAAAATGGCAATACTTAACAAGTTAGGCTAATATTCAAAGTCAATGAACCATGACTGAGGTACATGGCTAAACCATCTCCATGTAAATGAGATGCACCAATGCTAATACAACTGCATACCAAATATCATTGACTTATTATAAGTTGTTCCCTTTAAACAAACCTAAACACAAACATTAACTTGTAAACTATGTAAAAGTTTCAAAGTCAATGAACCATGAAGAGGGGGTGGAGTTATATAATCTCAATGGAAACGATACTTACAAATGCCAATAAATTTGCATACCAAATATAATTGACTTAACATAAGCAGTTCATCTTAAACTGATCTTATCACAAACTAAAACATGTAAACTAAGCAAAAGTTTCAAAGTCAATAGGCCATGACTGAGGGGATGGGGCCAAATATTCTCCATTGAAATGAGATGTGCTAATGCTTAAACAACTGAATACCAATTAACATTGGCCTACTGCTAATGGTTCCCCTTGAACTGACCTAATCACAAACTAATACATGTTAACTAAGCAAAATTTTCGAAGTCAATAGACCATGACTAAGGGGGCTGAGCCAAATAATCTCCATGGAAATGAGATATGCCAATGCTTATACAACTGCATACCAAATATCATTGACCTACCACTATTGGTTCCTCATAAACTGACTTAATCACAAACTAATACATGTAAAATAAGCAAAAATTTCAAAGTCAATAGACCATGACTGAGGGGGCAGGGCCAAATAATCTCCATGGAAATGAGATGTGCCAATGCTAATACAACTGTATACCAAATATCATGACCTACCACTAATGATTCCCCATAAACTGACCTAATCACAAACTAATACATGTAAAATAAGCAAAAGTTTCAAAGTCAATAGACCATTACTGAGGGGGCAGGGCCAAATAATCTCCATGGAAATGAGATGTGCCAATGCTAATATAACTGTATACCAAACAGGGCTTCCAAAATTATTTTTAGCCAGCCAGACATTTTATATATTATCCCGATTTTAATCCCTTAAGACTAAATAAACAAAAGGCAATTATGGTAATCAGTTGCCGAGTTGGCCATCCCAATGATTGACATTAAAAAAAAACGATATTAAACTTTCTTTGATTCAAAATCGAAGTTCTGACGTAAACTGTAAAATTTGCAGTGCGTCATTCGAAGTGTGCAACATCAGCGTACTTATATCTGCCTTAGACTCTTTATTTGTGCAAAATAACGTTGTCAAAAACTTTGCTTTCGTTTTTATACCGTATGTTATCTTGACAATGGTAAAACAGGAAACATGGACCAGAGACGGATATGTAAATTCCGTGTATGTTTGCAAAGCGTGAAGGAGTGGAAGTAGCTCTTTCTACGTTATTTCTTCAAGAAAATATTCAAAATAAACGTGAGATAAAGGTATCAATGACAATTTAAGCATTTTTTGAAGAAATTAGGATGCATAATTAAATTTCACACCTGCGCACATGCGCACACGTGTACTAGTTCAAACAGAGACATGTCTCTAGGTTCAAACAACGTGGTAATGACGATTTTTCATTTTCAACTTTTTAATTTTTTCATCAAGTCATATTTGTAAACGTATTTCTGATGATTTAAATCTTTTTGACTAAATTAATTAGATGCAAACCACTGAAATGTAAGAAAATAGCTTTGAATAGACCGATCAATGTCCGGTTCAAAATAGTTTACCTGTCACCTGAACAGGTAAATTTCAGCTGTTTGACAACTAATTAGCCTTGATTAAAATGAGAAGGTATTAAAGTAGGGGTTGTTTTGATAGTACTCAATGATCATGTCACTTTTATGACCGGAAATGTGTGGCTGTTAAAGGCAAAACGTTGGGTCAAAGAGATCGCGAATTATGTTAAAATGACCGTCTCTTAAAGCCTTGAAAACTAAAAAGTAGATGACCCTTTCATGCTTTGCCCAGCCGGACTTTTACCGGACATTATACAAATGTCCGGCATATATGACCGTTTTGGAAGCCTTGAAACCAAATTTGATTGACCTACCACTTGTGGTTCACCATAAACTAGACCTTATCACAAACTAATACATTGTTGACGCCACCGCCGCAAACTGCATACCTATGTCTCGCTTTTTGACTCCGTTAAGCAAGACAAAAAAGGCTTCTGCTAAAGTTTCATAAAATTCTATGAAGGTTTAACCGAGTTATTGATGTCAAAAACTTTAACCCCAGATGATAAAACTGCAAAAAAATGTCCTGTTATCAGCAAAATATGGAAAAATAGAAAATAAATTCAAAATTTTGCGGTGGTCAAGTCTTTTAATCCTAAAAAGCTTATGTCCAAGTTTTATAAGATTCCCTGAAAGTTTGACAACATTGATGTCTGAAAATTTTTAACCCGAAATTGTATCAATGTGCAGAAGGACATACCAACAAACAGATGAATGGAAGAACGGACAGACGGATGGACAGCAGTATAGCATACGTCCAATCTTTGACCACAACAAACTTACTTCCTCAATCCTCATTCTTTTCTGTGATTGTATCTCATCTTCATCATCTAACATTTCCTGAAGCTTTCTTTTATAACTGAAAAAATGAATACAACACTTTATAAATTTGATGCAAACAAAGCGCTTCTCTGAATTTATCTTCATCAGGAACACTCAAAGCCAAATATTTGAAAGTCAAGAATGAATAAGGACTAAAACAGTTGAAGAGCTGTATGACCAAAAAAGGGCCTAATAATGATAGCTAAATCCATCTAAGGTCAACTTTGCCTGAGGGAGTTGAAACCTTTCTTAATAATTGATAAATTTATAAACAGACAATTTAACAAAAGTTTGTTATAAATTATGTCAGTACAGAAGTACTGACTACTGAGCTGATGATACCCTCTCAGATTGATAGTCCACCAGCAGGGGTATCAACCCAGTGCTGTAAAAAATGAAACCAATACTTTATAAATTTCATGTGTCTGAAAAATAGTAATAGCATTAAATATGATTACATGTTTCTAATCCAGTTATTTTTATTCCTACACATTACATTTTTAAAATTCATATATTTCTATGCTATACTTCTAATGTTGTAAGCTGCAAGTATTGATGCAGAAAATGACTGTTTGTGAGACAGATGGTCAATTATTTTAAGGTTTTAGTTAGTGACTATTTTACACTATTGAAAGTTAAATTTTATCCTAATAATTCTTTCAGGTTTCAGTACTCAGCATTTAACTTGATCATGAATTAATGTACTTCTTATTATAACAATATTTTCTGATATCATTAGGTCTTAATTGGGGGTATGTTACATTCCCAGAAATGCTTGTATAGGAGAGAGTTTCAAAAGGGAATCTTACCAAAACTTGATTGGTGGAGATTCTTTTGAAAATATCTGCCTAATGAAGTACATTTGTATAGAGTGTAATCGTATAAATATTTTGATTTTGAATATTTTTATACATTTTCAGTTAAAACAATGCCCTCAGACACATACTCCCCCCTTTCCCCCTTTTAATATTTCTTAGACAACATATACTATGATTACTAGCTTTTTCGATCAAGATATCCTTTTTACAACCCTCAATATACAGATATGCAAAGTTTTCCTGGTAGAAATTTAAAATGATAAGCAGTATTGACTTCTTATCTTGTATGTAACTAATTTTTTTCTTTCAGTTTTAGTCCTTTATATCTTGTTTCTAATCCTGTTCCATAATATCTAATCTTCATTCAATTTGTCATTAAATGAGAGGCAAGGATACCAAAGGGATATTCACACTCATAAGTCTAAAACAAACTGACAATGCCATGGCGAAAAATGACAATAAGACAAAAAACAGCACACAAAACAACAATTGGAACATATTTGTTGTCATCTAAGAAACAGATATTCCATAACAGTCAACCATGGCATCCGTAAAATTTTCAAAGGGATGACTTTACATGCATTACATGCACAGCTAAATCTAAGTCTGTCTAGCTAAGTAAAGTCAAAGTGTCAATCCTTTTAAAAGATTTCCATTTTCAAATGCCTAATTGTATTGCTCATGTAAGTACAAACCCTGTGATAAGTCTAATTTGGTTACAACAATTGGAACATATTTGTTGTCATCTGAGAAACAGATATTCCATATAACAGTCAACCATCTTATGATGGCATCCGTAAAATTTTCAAAGAGATGATTTTACATTTATTACATGCACAGTTAAATCTAAGTCTGACAAGCTTATAAGTAAAGTCAAAGTGTCAATCCTTTTTACATGTTTAAAAGATTTCCAAATTTCAAATGCATTTTACCTCTGATTATAATATTTGTTAAGGGCATACGATACAGTTTCGATCCACTGATGAATTTTTGACGAAAATTTGCAAATAAGCTTTTTTTCACCTAAGCAATTCAAATATGTAATAAAAAATATACCTTCATGTGCTACTTTAAGAGATAATTGGGGTCGAAATTTTAGACATTTACTCAAAATTTAGGTTTTTTTTACATTTCTACCTAACTTTTTTGTTTCAAAAGATAAACACAAGCAGATTTTTGTAAAAACATTTGGAAAATCTTCTTTACATAAGTATGCTTTAGATTTGTATAACAGTTCTTTGGAAATAATTAATTTTTATCAAAGTTTCAGGATTTTAGCAAAAAAACAGCATTTTATAAAATTTCAATGTTGACTTTTTCATGAAAATTGGTACAAATAATCTTCATACGTAATCAAACCAAAAGTCATTTTAAAAAGAGGGGTCCATGAACTCTTTTTCAAGTTAAATCAGTTTGAATGATAAAAATCAGTCGAAAAAATGCATCTTTTCCCAATATGTCACAGTTTGACAACGCGAAAATAACATTTTATGCTAGCAATGTCATTACCTCTCCTGTAACTGTATCATACGCCCTTAACTCAAATGTATGTCCAATAATTAAAAAAAAATAGAATAAGTAACCAGTAACCTCAATGTTACAAGTTTGAAGAGCAAATAAATTTGGAAGAAAAAAATATTTAAAGTTAGAAATATTAAAATAGTTAAATCAAATATCAAAATAGATTAATTCAGTGGACATCCAAATGAGTTTACTAAATTAATATCAATACCCTGTCAATCAACATTTTTGTACATAAAATGAATAGCATGTTTATGGTTAGTTTACTTGTACCTGACCAAACAGTAAGTTGTATTTGTTGAACACACTTTATCCGAGATAATAACAGCACAAACTTCAATTACAGATGAAAAAATGCTGGAAATTCAGAAATTATTGTGTGCATTTACTATTGCAATTTTTGGAGAAAGGACAAAAATGCAAAATTAATTATTGTGAGTATAGGAAAATCTGCTTAGTTATATGTATTGGATATTGTAATGCGAGTTTTTATAATTGCGATTTTCACCCAGTTTCAATATTTGCATTCATAAAAACCTTGCAATAATTACTGAATTTACAGTATTCTAATTTAATATAATTGAAAAATAGAATCATTTAAGATTATAATTAAAATTAACCAAACTGCAGCTAAAGAGAAAGTTGTATGCATACAATTTTCAAGATTTGTCTAGTTCCATGAGGACTTCTAAATTATATAGTATGTAACTCTTGACCTCAGATTCCTTGAAACTTGAATAAATCCACTAGTTATGCCAGGTCCCTTTGACTTCTGACCTACCAAGATTTGACTATACTTCTATATTCATCACTTTTGCAAAACTTAAAAGTTTGCATGCTTACATTTCACTGTCAGGATTATTTTCCTGGTTTCTACAATGCTCTAACTTCCTCTGTATTGGTCCAACTTGATCCTTCTGAACAGGTTCTTGTGTACTGACCATATATCTTATACCTGTGTCAATAAAAGTAAACAAAGAACTTGATCCTTTCAAACAGATCTTTGTCTAATGACCTTGCAAAAGTAAAAATGACTAAAGTTATGGCACAGCTTACAAAAATCATCAATTTTTAATGCAAATCTCTATATTAGGATTTAGCAATGTACAAAGTTACATGCAGATAAATTAAGTTGTCAAGAAAAGAGATTTCTAAAAAGGGTCAAAATTTTCAAATCTAGAGGATCATAGTTCTGAATAAACTTATTGCCTTCTATCAAAGGTAGTTTTTCTAACATGTATCACTTACATTATATAATACAAAACTGACAAAGGAAAAAGATGCTCTTCCAGATAAATAGAAGGTCAAAGGGACAGATGACTGTAGATGGATCCTTTACTCAGCATTCCATCTTAATACTTTTCGTTACATGTTTTAGGTACGGTCAGAGTAAATATTTTTCATCTGAAGTAACAAATATGCAAAAATGCCCTAAGTAGTGGTTGACAAGATCAAATTTCTCAATAAGAACAAATTGTTGCAACCAGTAACCTGTGGTGACTGTTAGTGACTTCTTATCATCACGCCTTTGTAAATAGTTTTCTTTGACCTGGTTTGACTTTGTAATTATAGATATTCAATAGGTGTATATCAAATTATTGATAAGCCTATTGTTTACTTATTTTATTAATTAAACCATGTGGTAAATGAGCCATTAATTATGGTATTTAATTCCTAGTTCCAGATAAAAACGTAGAGGATTAAAACTCCATCTGAAACCAACTTTGTGTATTATGCATATGATTGTGTTTCCATTTTGTAGATATTATTCTGCATGAGTACTCAATCATGACTCTGTAAAATCAGTGAGTACTAAATTAGTAATTCTTTGTGGAGATGAAATCCCTCTATTAATAAATAATACAGCCTTTCATTATGATAAAACTTATCAATTATACCCACGTTTTATCTGGTAGACTGTTTTCTTGACATCCTCAGGTGCAGCTCCAGCCAACAACACATCAGACATGTAACTGTAACAAAACATTTATTTATATTTTACTTTATCAAGAAAGTGTTTACTAAATATGGTATCTACTATCAACTACAAAAACTTTTTTGTTGACGATTTTGTCAAATTTCCATCAACTTCTACATTTTTTTTGTTGGGTCTTTTGTAGATTTATTTGTATGTTTGTTTGATTTTTTAGTAAGTTGTGTTGTATGTCTGTGATGTATAGTTTACATAGTTTTGACTGCTGGATCCCAATTATTGTAACATCAACCTATTATGTCTGTTTGGCTTGCTCAACCAAATTTGTCAATATAATGGAACTATAAACAACTGTCCTACAAATAGGAGGTTTAGCAAGCTATATAACAATGTTTGACCCACCATTTTTGTTGGAAAAGTCCTCTATCAAGTAGGAATGTGACAGTAGTTTACAACTTGTTCTGTTGGTTGATACAGTTTGATTTTGTATGTTTTTATGGACTCTCCCTTTTTGAATTTACCTTTGAGCTCAGTATTTTTGTAATACTTTTTAAGTATAAAGCATGGAGACAAAATACAAAAATAATAGTGCAGTACAGTACCAGTTTCAAAGACCTGTCTTACCATATATCAGTGTATTTTTCCTTTTGATTTTTCTTTGTGATATCAGCACAAACAAGCAGGCTAATTATTCATATTACTAAAATATTTTCAAAGCAAAATAATATGATGTCCTCTTTCAAAATGTGACTTTTTTTTACACTAAAGTACATTGTGGAAAATAATTTTTTTTTGATAGCTACAGCAAGGGTCCGGAAACGGTCATATTTACCAGTCACGTCCTAAGATGAAACTATTTGTCCTAAACGAGTAATTGGAATTTAGGACAAATTTTATTTTTTTACAGAAGTAATTTCGGTCATTTCATTGACTCAATGTTTTAAATCGGATTTCGTAATCGCCATTTTGCACTTGTGATCACTTGTTTTTGTTTATAATCCCTTTCCTGTAATAAAACTGCCACTACAGTAGTTTGATAATCCTGAGGGCCCTCCTAATATCTATATCAATGCCTCCGGGAAACATTGGCTAATGATCGCTAATCACTGTTTACCTGTGGTTTTAATTCACACCTGACAGTGATCACAAGCTCAGAATAATATCTTTAAAACATTAAAGTTCTCTGACAAGTGTATTCATTATTTATTTACTTTTCATCAAAAACTGTCATCAATTCTGATTTAAAAATTAAATCTAAATTTACGTAGAAAAAAGTATTTTTTCATGAGTAACACATGTGCTTTATTTACTATGTAATACACATGCGTGAAATTGTCTTCAGCAAATTTAATATTTAATCGTAAAATGAAAATTGATTTCATGCTAAATTAAACGAGTGCAACTATTATCTGTTATATTCAAACACTTTTAAAGGTAATAAAATAAAAAAGCCATAAAAAGCCGGTGATTTCCTGTCAATTTGATAAACAAAACAAACCCCGGAAATGAATCCGGAATTATTCGTACTTTAAAATATTGCAAACTTCCGGTTTTAACTTTTGTCAAACCGAAAGAAACGTAAGCAATGTCTGAGAAATTAACCATTTTGAGTCAATAAAATCATTTCAATTTTAGACTGTTGCCTTCCCTAAACTGTCCTTCATGGTAATGGTAAGACATTTACTTAGTAAATGCGATGAAACAGCAATACAAGTTCGTCATGTTCGTTGATGCTGTGAATATAGTCAAGTTGATATCGACAATTTGAAAAGGGGCACCAACTTTTCAAACATCTCAAAATGACCGAAATTGTCTGGAAAAATTTCTGGATCCTTGAGCTACAGTATGATAACTTAAAATATTGTTACCAAAAAATACTGTGAATTTGTGCTATTCAGTATTTTGGCATTAGAACATATGTTAGCATAGGGCTATTCCAGAAAAAAATGTATGATTTAAGCCTTTTTCAACTAATTTTATAGTTTGATCTTATGTTGTGCTGTTACACCACTGTCCCAGGTTAGGGGGAGGGTTGAGCGCTCACAAACATGTTTAACCCTGCAACATTCTTTATGTGCCTGTCCCAAGTCAGGAGTCTGTAGTTCAGTTATTGTCGTTGGTTCATGTCTGTCATATTTGTTTTTCGTTTATTGTTTTGGTTATATAAATTAGGCCATTATTTTTCTCAATTGAATTATTGCCTTTTATAGCCAACTATACAGTATGGGTTTTTCTCATTGTTGAAGGCTGTATGATTGCCTATAATTGCTTACATCCACTTTATTTGAACTTTGGTGGATAGCTGTCTTATTGGCAATGATACCTCATCTCTTTATTTCTATATTGGGGGTTAGAAGGCACTTTACTATTAATAATATATTGGTGATGGGTATTAGAGCAACTTTTCACACTATAATGCACTGTGATTCTCAATTACAATTGTCTGGGTGACAGGTGCTGAAACAAACTGCCCTCTAACCCCCCAATACATTTTTTTTCTGGTATTAACAATGATCTTGCAGATAGGTATAGTTCTACATAACCTTTCAATGATCATTAGAGTGTTTGATAACAGTACTACTGGTACTCAGATAATAACTGAAAGGATTTTCTGATAATGGTTCCAGAGAAGACCTTGAGTAAAATAGCTTTTGGGGCCCACAGTAAATCTTAATAGCCCACAAAATTTACAGAAAATATGATTCTCAATACAAATTTTGGGACACCTAGGCTAAGTTTCCTTTTTAAAACAGACTATAGACCTGAAGACAGGGGACTCTTGAAACATTTACTTTCTTGAATTGAATTGAATTGAATTATATAAAAGATATATAAATTTTACAAATTTAAGCAATTTTATTCAATAAATTGAAACAATGCATTTGCATTGATATATATTTAACTAATGGGATCCAACAAAATGTCTATTAATGCATGTGGAATGTATATTTTTCACTTTTATGATCTTTATTCTTTTGTCAGCCGTCTGTCTCAAGTCACTATTGTTAGAATACAGATTTAGTTCATAATTTGTCCATGTCTGTTCATTGGTTCAAATATATTTCAATGGCGGACAAAGGAAAATTTACAAAAATAAACGATGTTTGACAAGCAATTTGGAAAGGAATATTGGGAGGCATCTGAGACGAATATTTCCTCAGGAGTCATGTATCAGACCACAACATTTCTATGCTGTTATTAAGATAGAACAGCCAGAAGAGTTTAACACACACATGCATAAATGAAATCAAGTTGTGAAAACGGAACCTGTGTTCCTGGCCCAACATCAAGTTTGCGTCAGTTGAATATTGAGCCTCGAAAAAAAAAAAGTAACAGTTTTAAAACTGGTTTTTGGCAGATTATTGTTCATTTGAGTGGATACCAGTTAGGAAAACATACGAGTTTCCGTGAACTGCCCTCGATATTATGCGATTTCAATAATAATAATTATCAAAGAGCACTCACCATGTGGGCAATCAAGATAACATATTTATGAGCCCACATCAAAAAGCACTAACAAATGGCGAGTGGGCGACCGCTAATTTCAAACCATCATTTTTGTAAGGAAAAATATGCCCTCCTATAGGACTGAAAAATTAAGGGAGGGTCTAGAAAATAGAAAATTAGTCTGGTACGTATACTTCACCACTGTTTTCCCTTTATAATAAATGCTGCAAATATACGAAAAAAGTCAAGCTGATTTCAGGACAGGGTCCAAATCTAAAGATGAAAATGTTCCTTCTAGCCTGTGGCTAAAAAAGAAAAACAATGTTTTTAACCTCTATACACCCACTAGATTGATTTCAGTTTCTATTTTGTCACATTGGAATTTACCTGCTTTTCTGTAAGTTTCAATTAAGCATAACAGCTAGTCTTTAAATTTGTGGATTTTCGGCAGAAAGTTGTTATTAACTATACTATCAATAATTCTTTGCAGAAACATTCTCAGCACTTCTTTAGATGACTGCAAATGACATTCTTACCTATCTAAGCTGACTTTGTCATTTTCTGCACTACTTAAGATGGCTGCCAATGCAATCTGTGATGGAGCAAATACCAAGCTGACATTACTGGCTAAGGACTTGTCTAAGAAATCCTCAGCAAGTTTGCGTATCTTTTCTATACGACTTTTTTCTATAGATTTGTACCTTGTCTGAAAATAAAATATATTAAACTGTTGACACTGAGATATGTCTCACTTTCATGTAATTTTGATAGTATAATGCATTTGTTGAAACAAGAAATTCAAAGTCAATGAATCATGACTGAAGGTCCAGGGCCTAATAATCTGTGTGGAAATGAGATATGCCAATCCTAATACAACTGCACACCAAATACCATTGATTTATTATAAGTGGTTCCCTTAAACTGACCTAAACACACACTTATATATTGTTGACCATGCCAGCTCAAACAGCATGCCTACGCATTGATATCTTGACTTCAACAAAAGAGAATTCATCTCAGATTAATTACATTCAGTTTTATTCAATTTTTTAAAATTTGCATTTGTAAATATCCCTTGTCTACTTTCAGCTTTATTTTAGTTATTTATATATTTAGCACCTACCGGTATATGCCTGTTCTCTCATATGTGAGACAACCCCTGATGGAACGTGACAAAATATTGGGGAATTTGGTGTAAACTAAATTGAAACATAACATGTTAGATTGGTCATCTTGGCATTTGCACAGCTATTTGCTACTCAAAGTAGCTACCAGTACAAGATTTATAAATCTTATTTATAAAAAAATGCATGCATAGATTAAAGTTTTGTAAATAAAAAATACCACTTCAAAAAATTTGCCTTGGTATAAAATTTTAAAGTTCAAAATCATTTTTTTAGATAAAAGTATTTCTATATTTTTTCATTTAAAAAACATTTACCGCAGGAGTACCAGTAAGCACTAAAATCTGATGATAATTAAAAGTTTTAAAATAATATTTCTAACTGGAAAATCACATATTTTTTTTTAACATACTTATAGGAAACAGTCCATTATTTTGTGCATAATTTAAAATAAGGAGATACGAGGTATGATTGCAAATGAGACAACTATCCAAATAAAGTGAGTGGATTTAAGCATTTCAAATGTTTTATCATGTCAGAGCAACATGACATCTGCCATTACTGGAACAGGAACTTTTTTTGCCTCCTTTTTATCTAAGTTTACAAACAGATTTGGTGAGGCTTGTGTTATATGAAAATAAGGAGATGAGGTATCGTTGCCAATGAGACAACTATCCATCAAAGTTCAAATGAAGTGGATGTAATCAATTATAGGCAACCGTACAGCCTTCAACAATGAGAAAAACCCATACTGTTTAGTCGGCTATAGAAGGCCCTGACATGAAAAATATAATGTTTGTTAGTGTACTCAACCTTCTCCCTAACCTTGGACAGTGGTGTAACAGCACAACATAAGAACAAACTATAAAAATCAGTTGAAAAAGTTCAGTCAGTCAGTCAGAGTCAGTCAGTCTGTCTGTCTGTCTGTCTGTCTGTCTGTGTCTGTCTGTCTGTCTGTCTGTCTGTCTGTCTGTCTGTCAAATTTCATTGTCTGTCTGTCTGTCTGTCTGTCTGTCTGTCTGTCTGTATGTCTGTCTGTCAAATTTCATTGTCTGTCTGTCTGTCTGTCTGTCTGTCTGTCTGTCTGTCTGTCTGTCTGTCTGTCTGTCTGTCTGTCTGTCTGTCTGTCTGTCTGTCTGTCTGTCTGTCTGTCTGTCTGTCTGTCTGTCTGTCTGTCTGTCTGTCTGTCTGTCTGTCTGTCTGTCTGTCTGTCTGTCTGTCTGTCTGTCTGTCTGTCTGTCTGTCTGTCTGTCTGTCTGTCTGTCTGTCTGTCTGTCTGTCTGTCTGTCTGTCTGTCTGTCTGTCTGTCTGTCTGTCTGTCTGTCTGTCTGTCTGTCTGTCTGTCTGTCTGTCTGTCTGTCAAATTTCATTGAGAAATATTGTACTGTAGTACTAGTGGATACTTGATTTATCAGTTTTACCAAATTCTACATACAAAGCTCTATTGAATTTGTATCTTTTTTACAAGTAAATGAGGAGGTATGGTTATAATTAAGGTGGTACATAACACTATAGGGAGATAACTCTTTAAAAATCAGCTGAACGTTTTAATCACATTCTAATGTTAAGGAAATATTAAGCTTCTCAATGATCAATATTAGTGTTTGCTATATATCCAATGATTTTTTTCTGATAAAGTGTGTGGTTCAAGTTTTCTGAAATTTTTATATTTTTGTCAAAGGGTCAAAGTCAATATTTTGCCAAAATTTTATGAAAATTAAACGAGCCGAATTAATTTTAGTCAAGGTCTTTGGTACCACCTTTAGAGGCATTATTTGGCCCCTGAAACGAAAAAAAAAAAGAAAAAGAATCCACAGTTCCCTTTGATAAAATCACTAACCTTGAGGTCTATAATAAGACCTTCCAGAGGTCTATAGGGGTTATGTACAGTCAAATGGTAATGTAATTTCTTCATTAACATTAGTTCAAAACTTAGAATTATATTGGTGAACTTGTCTCTATCTCCTTTTAAATTTCCTACAAACTGTGTGATAGAAACATTGAATTCCTCTACTTTACTGGCTAAATAAACACATGTCAACCTGAAAAAAAAAATTAACTTTTCAATAAAGCATTTACTTCTGTAATACCGGCTTGATAAACAAATGTCCATCTTCAAAACATAAATCAGAAAAGTTGTGAACATGTTTTAGCCATTTCCACAACTTTTCAAGGCCATAAAATTATCTCCTATGGCAGTACTCAATTAAAGCTTGATAAGTTTCTTCTAACTTAAAGTGACAAAAACTGGTAAAGCCTCTACAAGGTTTATTTACCAATTTCTTCTCTGTGATTGATAGACATAACTCATAAAACTTAAAAGTGCATAAAAGTTATGCAAATATAAAGACTAATATTTGCTATAGATCTAGAGCTTACAATTAATGGAGATAGAACAAGAATGTGTCCATAGTACACGGATGCCCCACTCGCACTATCATTTTCTATGTTCAGTGGACCGTGAAATTGGGGGTCAAAACTCTCATTTGGCATTAAAATTAGAAAGATCATATCATAGGGAACATGTGTACTAAGTTTCAAGTTGATTGGACTTCAACTTCATCAAAAACTACCTTGACCAAAAACTTTAACCTGAAGCGGGACAGACGGACGGACGGACGGACAGACAGATGAACGGACGCACAGGCCAAAAAACATAATGCCCCTAGGTGGGGCATAAAAATTGCAAAACCATTGTCAGATCAAAGACTGATAAGAGGTTTGATTTACAAGTATAAAAACACTAGTTTAACCCCGCCACATTTTCAAGTGTCTGACCCAAGTCAGGAACCTTGTCAGTAGTTGTATGTTATATCTTAATGTTTTCCATTATTTAGAGAATGGGCAGTTAATGGTAAATCTTTGATTGTTATTGTTAAATTTATTCACAACTTTTATAAACAGATGATTTATAGCTTGACATATATACCTTATCGATATTTCAGAATCTGCAACACTCGAACTATTGATGCCATACAACATTCACATTTGCAATGTTGAGTCAGAAATATTCTCTTATGATGTCAAAATTTTATGGGAATGTCTTTGAAGGCCAGTAATGGCTGACAAATAGTGATAAGGTGTATTGTATAGATACCTGTTCATTGTTGATGACTGTATTTTGGCCTTTTATAGATATCTTGTTGGTCATTTTTTTTTTGGAATGTCTTTGATGGCCAGTAATGGCCAACAAACAGTGATAAGGTGTATTGTATAGATACCTGTCCATTGTTGACGACTGTATGTTGGCCTTTTATAGATATCTTTTTGGTCATTTTTGTTATAGGTTGTGGTCTCACTGACATTTACCCAACATCTGCTTTTATTGATATTTAAAGTAAGATTCTTATTTGTGTTTACAAGATGCATATATATATATATAATCTCTGAATACTTACATGATATCTTTAGGATGATAGTCCATCACAGAATGCTTTACATAAAACCTCTTAAAATAACACATAGCTGTACCCTAAAATGGTAGCAAATGAAAACTCTTAAAATAACACATAGCTGTATCCTAAAATGGTAGCAAATGAAAACTCTTAAAATAACACATAGCTGTACCCTAAAATGGTAGCAAATGAAAACTCTTAAAATAACACACAGCTGTATCCTAAAATGGTAGCAAATGAAAACTCTTAAAATAACACATAGCTGTACCCTAAAATGGTAGCAAATAAAAACTCTTACAATAACACATAGCTGTACCCTAAAATGGTAGCAAATGATCTCTTAAAATAACACACACAAAAAAACGCAGTATAAATTAATCATAATCAAATACAATGTATAGCACTTACTTTGATAAACTGTATTTCACTTGAAAGACATAACAACTTGGCTCTAAACAGACAGTTTATTGACCATTGAAAAAAGTACACAGCCAGCTGGCTTTTCTTTGACAAAAGGAGTTAATGATTAAAAAATAGTATATAATATTTAAGGATAGGATCCTCTCAACAAATTTTCCTCTCTCCTCTTGCTGCAATTTTTATCATTACTAAAAGGAACCCCCCTTTTCTCCAACCATAGACCCCCCCAGACATTACTTATTTCCTTTACTTTAATATGAAAAGTTAATCAAGGGAATAACTGATCATGTTATATTTTGTTTAAGTATAAACAATATTATTCCATATTTATAGAACTTTAGTAGGATTTTCTATATGAATGGGATCTTGAATAAATAAGCATAATTATTCACCTGCAGAAAAAGTATATTCACCGAGCAAAAAGTCACGTGCTTTTACGTGTATAATTATGTTAAAATCATTTGATGTACAATTGGTTTTGGTAAATAATTGTCATTACATACATTTCTCTCTATACTCTCTCCGAATATGGAATAAAACAATTACGGTCTTTTGTTTCCGTAAATATGTGGTTCAATTGACTTTTGAAAAACTTATATTCACTTCCGCCATTGGCCTTAGTGAATATCAGTTTCTCAAAAGTCAATAAAACCACATATTTACCTCATCAAAAGACCGTAATTGTATATTATCAAATTTGACAATAATTATTGCAATTATTCTTCTCATCCTACCTCCTCGAAAGTCTCGGTAGAGTGTTCTCCTCAAATGCGGGAGGTCATGGGTTTAAACCCCAGCCGGGTCAAACCAGACTTTAAAATTGGTATTTGCTGCTTCTCTAGATCTGCTAAGCACGCAGTATTAAAGATTAAGTGCAAAGGCTATTTGGCTCAGAGTCAGGTTGACTGCAACCTTGCAATTGTGAACTAGCACATTAAAAATCCTACTCAGCGTATCCATCTAGTACAAAGCAGGATTAATACTCATATTACATTATCATGTTCTCGTCCTGAATATGCATTTAGTATCCCGTTGGACATTAAACAGTAATCCATCACAACTTCTCATCCTGTCAGCCATGAATGGGAAATGAAATATTTGTTTTGGTTGTTGCTTGTTTAACTATGTTGGTTTTTTTTATGAATTCACCTACCATTACATATTTTGGCATCGGAGGTTGGAAGACATTACAAAATTCACGGAGTACATGCTCAAAATGTCGACCTAAGATCCTCTCTTCTGTAAATGTTAAGTATTTTTTTTCTTTAGTTTCATCCTGAAAGTAAATAAATAAAATTTTCAAAGCATGAGGACAATATATTGTATGTCATTTAATACCAAATAATAACTCCAAAAGTAGAAAAGTTTGGTTAAATTTTTAATGAACCACACAATTTTTGTTTACTTCACCATGTTTATTACTTTAGTCTTTGGCAATCATTCTCCTTCTTTCAACTAAATGGTACAAATATGAGGTTTTTTCCTCCGGCAAAGTTGACCTCAGACGGATTTGGCTATTATCTTTAGGTCCTTTTTGGTCATATAGCTCTTTGACTGTTCGTAAACATCCTTGGCTTTCTAATATTCGGCTTTGAGCATTCCTGTCAGATGAAGGTAAATCAAGAAAAGCGCTTTGAACGCATGAAGTGTTTAAATTTTAAGCTTATATCTCCCCCTAAATAAAGCAAAAGCAAGAAAAAATTATTGCCAGGCTAGTATATATATCTAGATTAATTAGTAATCCCCTATTAATATATATATACCTACCTGTAAATTTTGCCTATCCAGTTTATATCCTATTTTACAAAAAATATATTTCTCATTTTTTGTTTTGCCTTCCCAAATTTTTCAAGTGGCAAGATGAAATTTTAAACATACAAACATGAAAGAGGTGTCTTGCTGTTGGGCACAACCGGTAAGTCAAGGGTATTTAATCACACCAAATTTTGCATAAAGTAATTTTTGTTCAGTCAGAAGCAAAAATTTCAAATGACGACTCACAACTTCTTTTGTAGCCTGTCAGCCTTGTTATTGATATCAGGTTGATTTTAGAATAAAAGTGGTTAGAAAGAAATCACAAGAGTGTTTGGAAGGCATTACTATAATATATCTATGGGTGGTTGGGAATTCAATTGACTTTCAAGATAGGAAATACTCCAATTTTCATTAAATTTTGCAGTTGTGTGCATCAGAAAAGATTCCCCCAACACACACTTAATTTTTTTTGGAATAGGCTTTACTTACATCAAGGTTAGCACCACCATGTTTATTTACATATTTATGATTAGTATCTTTTTTATTTTGTGTGATCTGTGTTTCGCCTGTAAATGTCCAATGTTTTTTCTGTGTACTAGTAGAAAACATTCTCTCTCAGTTGGATCTGAAAAAAAATATATACCAGTAAAAAGTGAATATAGTTATACCATGTATACTGGCTATGTGTTGCAAAATGTAATCAGATCTGTACTTAGTACTTTGTGTTTGTGTTAGGGTTTTTATGTGCCTTGTATCGATCTGATGAGTTAAGCCCATTTCAACTGATTTTTATTGTTTGTTCTTATGTCATACTGTTACACAACAGTCCCAGGTTAGGGGGAAGGTTTGGCATCAGCAAGCATGTTTAAATAACCCAGCCACATTCTGTATGTGCCTGTCCAAAGTCAGGAGCCTGTAATGCAGTGGTTGTTGATTGTTGCTGAATATCATATTTGTTCCTCGTTCATTGTTTTGTGCATAAATCAAGCCTTTAGTTTTCTTGTTTGAATTGTTTTACATTTGTCATTTTGGGGATTTTATACCTTAATATGTGGTATGGGTTTGAAGGCTGTACTGTGACCTATAGTTGTAAGTTTCTATGTCATTTGGTCTCTGGTGGAGAGTTGTCTCATTGGCGATCATTCCACATCTTTTTATTTTTATAATTATTGACAGTTATCAGTGGCGGATCCAGTACTTTTTATAAGAGGGGGCCCACTGACTGCCATAAGAGGGGGCCCGCTACAGTCATGCTTCAGTGATTCCCTATATAATCAACCACATTTTTCCCTCAAAAAGGGGGCACGGGCCCCCCAGGCCCCACTGCATTCGCCTATAGTTATGGTAATATAATGTATTAACTTATGTCATTGTTGTTAAATTTTGTGATTTTTGGTATAACAATCAATTAATTTAATACATTTGATTTTAGTTTAAATTAAAACTGCAAATTATAAAATGTTTATTCATTTTTCTTATAAATATTAGAATTCTCTGCATAAATAAATTCTGAGCATTACATAAGATTGACTATGGAATTTAATAGGGTGCACATATGTACAACAGTAGCCAATATTTGATTGAGTATAAGATGAAATGATTTTTATCTCAGCTGATCATGCTGATTAAGAGCTTTCAGTTACTGCAAGCATTCTTTCATATAGTAGTACTTATATAAAAATAAGGCCATGTGAATTTCCAGGTATGTTACACTCTAGTCTAGGTTATTTAACTTATAAGGGTGCACTTGATTTGAAGTCATATCTGAAACAAAATATGATTCTATATTTCAAACCATTCTATTAGATCAAATAAAATTAAACAAAAAAACAGTGTTTCATGTTTCATGCATAATCCAATATTTATTTTTCGGTCCCTTTGCTCATAACAACGAAAAAAATATAACTGTTATATTTGCCACTGGACATATAACAACAGTGAAGGAATTAGATTGTGTTACGTGTTTTTGTTGAAAATTGAATAAAAATCCTGCCCAATATTTTACACAAGCCTTATTCAAATGTTATCCATTCCCTTCAAATTCTATTCATTAGTACCATATTCAAATTATAACAACGAAAAATCAAATAATATACCGAATACGCCATTTTGGCCATTTCAGTTTCTTGAACTATTTATTCTATTTAACCACAATATTATTGTAGAAACTATCTGAGTAATATTTCTTTTTTTAAATGTACATATCAAAATGGAACAAATGATTTTTGCTGTACAAAATCAAAATACAACACTTTAAATTTCAGGCAAATGATATTTAAACGGTAAAATTAAAAACAAATCTATAAGTGAAATATATGTTTCTCTAATTTTCCTTATTTCATAATGTTAATGTGTTCAATATTACAAAAGAATCAAACTGAGTTAACACATTTGATATTTTGTAGATGCACAGAAGAGGAATGGCACTCAATGGAAAATATTCATTTTAACCTGCTTGGATACTATCCGTGACAGAAATTTAGCCAAGATTTGCATCGGAAAACAAATTGTGGATAATATTGAGGATTTTAGTGAACACGATACTATATTATACAATGGGATTACGACTCGCAAATAAAAGCTGTTTATTGATAATGAGATATCTGCTGTTCATTGTATTACTACAAGGTCATCCCAATTAAAAAAAAATCCATTTAATATCAGCCGTTTTAGTAAGTTTTCATCTTTATTCAATATCGTGTTACATCTTTTAGAACTATTTCCATGGGTGAACACTTTTTAAGAAAGTGCCCATGGAAATACCTAAAGGGCAAAACATCCAATAAAGATGGACAATAGAAAATAACTCTCCATTCCTGAAAAATAATGGAGAGTTTGAACAAAAGATTTACGTCACAGGTGTATTTTAAAGCAATATATCCACTATCATATTTATAAAAATTTATAAGATTAGTCTGAACTGCTGAAAGCTAATTGTACAACAATGTGTAAGCAAGTCAGTCATCTCTGTTGCAATGGAAGCTCATTATCATGATTATGGCTGTAGTGTATTGGCAAGTTAGGCCTATGAAAAGGCATATGAGTTTTTCAACTTTTGACCCATAATGTGAGGGTACCCAAAATGCATCTATTTGGACAGTTTTTGTCTTTTGTTTATCAAGTGTAACCAGTGAGAGCATGATTCTTATAAAAATAACACATTGCATACCTGTCAACTTGTGAAAATGAAAATGCAGGTCATGACCTGCATTAAGGAAGAAAATGTCAGGTCATAACGCATACTTACTTTTTTTTGGTTGAATTTTAGTATAAATTAGATGTTTATTTATACACATGTATTATAACATATACATGTACCAGTTTCCTACAAATATTCACTTTTGTATTTATTAATTATCATATAAATATTTATCATTAATTAAATATATTTCTAAAGCAATGCCAGTCTTATTGTTTTATTCACACTACTTTTTATTAATGAATGTCATAAACCCCAGCTATAATTAGAAATCAATTATAGCTAATGTGCTCCTATACACAGGAGGCAGATAAATAGACAGAAGTTAGTGTTTAATTCTAGTGCAATATCTAGAACATACTGATTTGATTTAAAGCTTTTACATTCTTAATTTTTATTTTCTCCAACAGAAATGTATTAAGAGGTTAAAATATTGTTTCAAAATGATTTTTATAGGATAATTGATATTTGCAAACGTCACAGATCTTTTAATCAGGACATAGAATTGTATGTCAAGCTTGACTGGCTTTAACTTTCTTGGATACAATTAACGAATTGTTACTTTTCAATAGTATTGGTTATGTTAATATTGAAAATAGTGTTAAACAACTGAGATTAAACCATGTTCATAATATTTATTACCATCATTGTCCTAGTTATAATATGTATACAAATTTTACAAAGCTGAGACATTGTCATTATCATTTCACAAGAAATAGTGAATATAACTTCTGGGTTCCACCAGTTAAGAGTCAACAAAAAGATAATTTTTATTATAATGGTATACAAGATTGGAATATGTTACTAATTAATGTTAGAAAAATAAAAAAAATAAATGAATTCAAAATAAGCCTTCAAGAGTACTTGACCAAAAGTTATAGTGCGGCTTCATCTGACTGCTTTTTATATTATTAAATTTGTTTTTTATTTAAATTAGTTTTATATTAAGTTTTATGTCAGATTAATTTGTGTATTATCATTTTTGTATGTGGAAATTATAAGAGGTTTACATGAACGGACCCCATTGGAAACAAGCTTCAGATCTTTATGGGTTATCCCTGATAAAATATCAGCCAATTTTTTCCGTACACAAAAGTTACTATACTCACCAAATGCTCTATTTTATCAAGTATGTGTTAGTATATGTCTTTATGTATTGTATATTGTGTATTGTAAAACTTATATGCTTGATATTTTATTGAATAAAATATTATTATTATTATTATTAATCAAATGCAGGGCGTAGCTACCCGGAGGCACGGCAGCACGTGCATCCACGTCGTTTTCACAAAGAAAAAAAAAGAGAGAGAGAGAAAGAAGCAGATACTGTGGAAGAGGTTCCTACGATGCTGAGAGGTGCTGGTAGACAGCGACATCGCGTAAATGTATCAGCTGAAACGCCCAGTCAGTACATGAAACTGCAATGTTTCTACCATTTCTTGATCACCTAATACAAGAACTTACACGCAGATTGGTTTCTAACGAAGAGCGGGTATCTTATTTGAGACGTATGGTTTGCAAGGTGGGATATAGCAGTGAACCCAAAGCCATCCAGTATTTCTGAAACTCTGCCAATGACAAACAGTGACCTATATCCAAATACTAACATTTGTCAGCTGATTCTAGTAACAATGCCGGTGACAACAGCAACAGCAGAGAGAAGTTTTAGCAAAATGAGAAGAGTGAAAACTTATCAGTGGCGGATCCAGAACTTTTCATAAAGGGGGGCCTGCTGACTGACCTAAGGGGGGGCCCACTCCAGTCATGCTTCGGTGATTCCCTATATAATCAACCAAATTTTTCCCACAAAAGGGGGGCCTGGGCCCCCCTGGATCCGCCTATGCTTATGTCCGCTCTACAATGCATACAGAAAGACTTTCAGCGACTCTTTTCACAAAAAATCTTACGATTAAAATTGATCGTAAGTTATACTGAAATGTGTATGACTTACGAGTTATTTTACTCTTAAGATTTTTTGTGAAAAAAGCCGCAGGTCTGTCCATCCTTCACACATACAAACATTGGGAAAACATTGGGAAATTGAAATTGAGAAAGTTATTGATGCATTGCTGTTAGGCAGAAATGTCGTTTCGGGTTCCTTTTTTCTAACCAAATTTAATATACTTCAAGTTTGAAATTGAAAAGATTGATTGTTGCTAACAGAAACTCCACATATAGTATTGTGTTTCTGTTTATTGTTTGTTTTTTATACATCTATACTACATTTATACATTCATACAAATACTAGCATGTAGAACAAATCTCTGTGATTTTAAAAGCTCTCACAGCGTACAAAAAACGCAAACGAAAATGTTTTGTCCTTATTGGACTCGAAGTTAAACAATAGTTGACCAGAAAACTACAACAAAAATGTTCAAGTCTTATTACGGTTGTGATTGTTTTGAAACGCTATATATGCGGAGCTTACGGGGGGTTTGGCCCCCTGGTCCCCCTACCCACAGATAGATTTGTGATTCCACTTCATTAAGGAGGTAGTTACGCCCCTGAAATGAAATGTTTTGATAGCTGTATTCATCCAATTAAGGGCACTTCAAATAAGCAAATCCTAAGTTTTGACTTTTCAATTGTTTTCTTATTCAAAGGACAATGAAGGAAATAAGCCGATAAAACCAAACGTATATTTCACTTCTAAATACAGGAAACAATTCTGATCAGAAATTCGAAGACTTCTTAAAAAGTGTAACAAAAATACCAAACTCCAAGGTAAATTCTAAAATGCTAAAAGGGGAAATTCATAAAAACTGACAAAATCAAATATTAGACATATAGAGGGGTATTTTTGTTTAGACTGGATTTAAAGCAAAAAAGGGCAGATTGGCATTTTCTAGTTATATTGGCTATAATCTATTGTATTGTATGCATCAATTGATGTACTTAATTTAATTTGTACATGCCCAGTTTACTGCTAAACTGACTGAATATACAATCTATTGTTCATCATAATTGAAAGCTGTGATGATCAGGTAAATTCTACTCAGTTATGCCTCACTGAACAGAATTTCTATTGTTAGATTTAACATAAAATTTAAAGGTCAACTGTCCCTTTTGTTGTTGATCAGGTGCTCAGATAGCTATACAATAGATTTCAAGTTCTGTCACTTTAGCAAAAAATATGGGCATCCCAATTTTTAATAAAGTGCATTTATTGATGCATACAATGCTATAGATTATAGCCAACATAACAAGAAAATGTCAATCTGCCCTATTTTGCTTTAAATCCAGTCTAAACAAAAATACCCCTCTATAGAGGGATAATTTTATCCCTCAATAGAAGGATTATCCCTCTATACAGGTAAAAACACCATGTAGAGGGTTTGTTCCCAACCTGTTGTATGACAGTTGTTTATAGTTCCATTGTATTGAATATTGAGTGAGCAACCCAAACAGACATAATACATGTAGGAACCTAATGTCACAATAATTCATATCTAGCAGTTAAACCTGTGTAAATATATAAACATCAGACACACATCACAACTGACTATAAAATTTTAAATAATTCAAACAAATAACAAATAAATTTAACAAAGACATGAAAGATGCAAACAAAAAAGTTGTTGCAGTTCATCGTACATTTGACAAAATTCCGTGCTTTTAATGCATGTTGTTTTTTATATAATTCGACCATTTCGTATATCTCTAAATATTTTCATTTGATTTTGAAATAATTTATGACGATGAAAAAAACAGAGTTGTTTAGGTTCTATTTCTAAGTAAACCTAGATTTTCGTCGCCTTTTCATCCGGTGCAAATTCGATACTCTAACATTACCCTTCCAATCTGTAAACGTACTTGTAAAGACTGGCCAGGTATAATTACTGCATAGCTTTTACACTAACATCTAAAAAGTTATTTTAAAAAATCGGAAAGTGTTTTACCTGAGACTGGGGAAAGAAACGATTATAATTCTTTCAGTTTTGACCAAATAGAAATCTCAAACTTCCTCCGTTATAAGGAGCACATATTTTGGACGCATTCCTATACAGTACCGTCGTAGGTCAAAACTTGGAATAACCACAAGTTAAATGAGCTGAATTAAGCTTCCATCCTTGCTTGGAAGTTGAGTTATGACATAACGAGAACGAGTTACATTTGATAAAATGAGATAGACCCTGCTTAGAACTATAGACCGACACGCTTAGATTTCTTTTATCGCACACTCCATATATTAATGACATGTCCTCCCGCTAGAATCCATTATTCTTAAAACTGAGTAATCCAGACAGTAGAGTGCCTCCCCGTGCTTCAGGTTTATGCTCTTATAACATACAAGATAATGGAGTGTGTGTCTATGTTCATTACTTTAGGAATATTTATCTTAAACTCATATTTCACTATTTAGCCCCATTCTACATGCTACTAATTAGTCAGACGTCATGCAGGCGCTACCCTGATATACACTGTCTTTTGTTTTTGTCCTCTGGTTTTGTAGTTTACGTATTTTGTCGGGTACTTATAACGGATAACGTTTGGCGTCTTTAGCCGAACAGCTTTATCTTTTTACTTTATTAAATTCCTGTGTCGACTGGTTCATATTCTGGACGCCAGTCTTTGCTCCTTTCAATTGCAAATACGGATAACAAAAAAACAAAAAATGAAACTCAGAAATTGAAAAAAACTAAACACCAAATTCGTTCAAAGGGTATCTACACGTCTCAATCTTCAAAATCGCTTATCTGAAAATACTACAATTGCTAACATTTTTAACAATAAAAATCGTGATTATCTATTTACTCACATGAAACAAACCGGGATGCGCGGATAATCAGTACGTAGGTGAAACTGGACGCTATTTATCTAGACGCACGCAAGAACACCTTTATCGTTTTAAAAGACCCCATAAATTCAAAAGTATCATTTATCAACACCTTAAGAAGCACAATCATCCTATTAAATATTTAACAGTTCAACCTTTAGAAGTAGTAATTAAAAAAGCAGCCTGGGGAATCTCATTCAAAGTTTGTACGACCACGGAAAATAATTGAATTAAATTGGATTAAAAAAATACAGACAGTCTATCCTCTCGGTCTTAATGATAATATCATGGGAATTGGTAATATATCAAGAACCGATTCTGTTAACATTTTGGATTTAGTTTCTAAAACTGTTCGTAAAAACTGTTCTCATGGGCGTAGAATAAATCGCAATCAGAGAAAATTTCGTACCAACAATACAAATATTTCGGACCTAATTACTATTTCAAAAAACAACGGCAGACATTATCTGTTAACCAAGCTCTGTTCTTTACCTGTTAATAAAATACATCAAATCTTAGAGGATTGCAACACAATTCCATATTACAGTCCTAAGTATGAAATCGTCCAAATTATAATTGCATATTGTTATTCTAATCTAAAATTGATCGCCCTGAAGATCATAAAAAAAGATTTTATTAAAATCAAATATGTCATTAAAGGTTTTGTAAATATTGCCGGTATTTTTAATGATCATTCTGTTAAAAGAACAAATTCCTGGCTATTTTGATAATACTGAACTCCCTCTTATTTGTTATGTTTACAAAAAGTCTACAAGGAAATATGTGTTTAATTTTAGCGAAATGTGTAAAGATGTTAATATCAGTGACAATACACCTACGTCATGAAATTGCAGTAATTCCGAATACATTTATGGCCCCAGTTCCCATGTTATAACAGGAGACCTTAACATCGTCCATGACCGAGAGTTGAAATCATTCCTCTGTAAAGGACCTATATATCGTCCCCCGTCAATTATTAAATTATTGGAATGAGTGTCGTAACATCATCCACGACTCACTCCGTACTTACTGCTCGAAATGGATAAAACGAGAAAAAGCAGACAAAAAATCCTAGGATTCTTTTTTTTATATTCAGTAATGAACATAGTTGATATTCGTATTAAACATTTTAAAGAACATTTAACTCCTAACAACAACCATAATAGCCCTATTTCTCGTATCAAACATAAGCTAAAAGACCGTTAACTCGCCAAGGAATTTGTTTTTGTCCCGTCTGATAAGGCTGCTAATAATATCATTATTGTTTGACGTAAATTTTACATTGAGGCTCTGCAAAAGGAAATCACGAATTCACCAACATTCCAACTGACTCCATTTTCTGGAAATGACATTTGTAACAAACATAAACTTTTAGCTACCTCTTTACAAGCAGAACTAAATACAATGAAAGTTCCAACTATGTATGTCCGAAGCTGCACAAAACACCTTACAAATATAGATTTATTTCGTCTTCAAGGCATTGTTCCACTACTAAACTGTCTATTCTACTTACTAGTACACTTGGTACAATCAAAAACCTGGTTTGCCACTAGACGCTAAGCAACCAACAATCAATCAATCAATCAATCAAAAACCTGGTAATAAATTGTTCAAATAAGGCCTTTGAAAATAGTAGAATTAATAACTTTTGAAGTGTCAAAAATTCGTTGGAAGTACTTGATAAATTACATGCTTATACATTTGTATTGGTGATTTCGAAACTGTTCAAAGTTTTGATTTTTCAACCCTATATACATTGTACCACTTTGCCTCATAATCTTATTAAGAAAAAAATCACACACCTAATTAAATGGGCATTTAAAAAGTCAGAATGCGAATATATATGTTCAAACTCTTTTAGGTCATTTTTAAGTAACAACAAACAAAAGAACTATGTCAGTTGGACCTGCTTTGATACGATAACTGCCCTTGAATCTTTACTAGATAACATTTTTGTTCGCTATGGAGATTCCGTAAATCGACAATTTATCTGAATTCCAATGGGGACTAACTGTGCACCACTTATTGCGGACCTGTTTCTGTATTGTTATGAGTTACAATTTATGACTAAAATCAACAAAGACCCATCGAAACAACATCTGATACGAAAATTTAGTAACACTTTTAGATATTTAGATGATATATTGGCTCTCAATAATGACGACTTCAGTATGTATACTAAAGAGATTTATCCTGCTGAACTGACTTTGAATAAAGCTAATACTAACAATGAACACTGTCCTTTCCTGGATCTTGATATCTAATCTTTAACGGGAAGCTTAATACCAAAATTTATGATAAAAGAGATGATTTTTCATTTCCTATTGTTAATTATCCATTTTTCGATGGTGACGTTCCCTTATCACCATCTCATGGTGTTTATATATCTCAACTTGTTCGATTCGCTCGTGTATGTAACAACGTATTTGATTTTAACGAAAGAAATCCCTGTATTACTTAAAAATTATTACACCAGGGTTTTCGATATCACAAACTAGTCAAAACATTTACTAAGTTTTATCATCGGTACAAGGACATCATTCTTAAATATAAATCAACATGCAGACATCTTATACGTTCAGGTATTTCACATTCAATCTTTTATGGTAATATTCTATACATATGATGAAGACATAATCTTTCAATCAGTTTAAATGAGGTCTGGAGCTGGCATGTCAGTAATTGCTAGTAGTCCTTTATTAATTTATGAATCATTGTCATTTTGCTTAGTTTTTTTCGTTACCTATTCTGACATCGGACTCGGACTTCTTTTAAACTTAGTTTTACTGTGCGTATTGCTGTGAGTTTGTTTATTCTACATAGGCTAGAGGTATAGGGGGAGGGTTGAGATCTCACAAAACATGTTTAACCCCGCCGCATTTTTGCGCCTGTCCCAAGTCAGGAGCCTCTGCTCTTTGTTAGTCTTGTATGTTTTTTTAATTTTAGTTCAGTTATATGTTTTGGAGTTTAGTGTGACGTCCATTTTCACTGAACTAGTACACATTTTTGTTAAGGGGCCAGCTGGAGCCCGCATCCGGGTGAGGGATTTTTCTCGCTGGCTGTGTTGAAGACCCATCGGTGGCCTTCAGCTGTTTTCTGCATTTTGGTCGGGTTGTTGTCTCTTTGACATATTCCCCATTTCCATTCTAAATCTTATTTTCTGGCTCCATCTGTTGCATGCTAGGCGAAGAATTAGAAAAAAATTAAGTTTAAAAATCTTTGGTTTCACCGGACAAGAAATCATCGACCTTCTAAATTCGAGGCTAGCACGCTAACCACTACACAACCACATTAAATGTTGTTTCCTACTACAGACCATTGCATTTTAGCTAGTATAACCATCGCATTTCATCATAACAATCAACGTCAACGTCACAGTTAGACCATCGCACTTCAGCATGTAACCAACGCATTTCAGCGCGGACCATCGCATTTCAGCGTGATCATCGCAGTTCGGAGTACCATCGCAGTTTAGAGTCCTACATATATATAAAAAAATCATTGTTCTTTGACATGAGCAAGCATGAATAAGGTTTTACATTTCTTTCTTAATTGACAACCTTTTTTTTCGTTATGACAAGAATATATATTTTTTTTTAATCGATTAAATGTTCTAGAGGGATTTATCCAAATGAACTTCGATTTGATAAAGCCAATTATAGAACAGTCAGTTGTGCCTTTTTTTTTAGACATTACTCACTGTATTTGTAAAAAATGGAAAAAATTCAAAACAAGATATACGATAAAAGAGACAACTTCAACTCTGTCATACCTAACCTTCCCTTTTTATTTGGCGATATTCCTCCTTTCGCGTCCTATGGCTTGTTAATTTCACCACTTGTGTGGTGTGCTGGAATGTTTCGTAAATAATAAATAGTAGGCATTTACCAACTACTGTCTATTGTTATCCTGTTTTTAGCTGGACTATGCAGGTTTTGTTTTTACTTTTACGACAAATACGTTAAAGAGGCAAAGAGCGATGTTTGTGCATACGTAAAACTGTTTTTTGTTTGTGCCTATACCAAGTCAGACAAACTGAACCATGTGTTGTTCGTTGTTTGTTGTTGGTAGTCTTTGTTTATATCTGTTGTCCTGTCCAATATGTGAAGTGATTCTAAATTTCATGCTATTCCTT